AAGCCAAAGCTCTAAATCAAGTTTTCTGATACAGAGTCTGGTATTCCTTTCACTTTGCCGTGTCCATCCCAGTAATAGATTCCAGGAACCTGAAGTAGCGGATATAGAGCAACAAATACATAACTGAGTGCTTCTACTCCCCACTCCCAAGCCTGTGACAAACATCATTAGCTAAGTACACCACTTCTGAGCTCACTGGGATGCGTGCGGAAAATTCCAAATTGCCAAGGCAGATCATGAAGAGAAGGATATAAGAGCTATAACTGATTTGTATCAGGAGTGCAAGGGGAATACAGCAAAGGTAAGCCCAAAGTGTAAGCTCTAGAAAAGTTTGACACAGAAATGAAATGTGCCTCAGCAAGAAGGAAGGCTTCACACGAGTGCTTTGTATAAGGATTTCTGTCTGAAATGGCACATACTTCTGACAGAATCTATTACAGAACAGCTCCTTTTGTTCTTGGGAAACTGCTACAGAGCCTACTTATTTGTTGTAGATGAAAGTAAACTTGTTACTTTAGTTATAATGTTGCACATATATAATTTACCTTCAGTGCTAAATTCAGTAGAATTGAAAGGCACAATACATACAGAACAGTATCAAAAGATCATCCACTTTGACAGTTCATAGTGCACTTAGTACCAACAAGACAGGATCAGGAAAAAATAGATCATTTCTAGGGTATGACTTAGAAGCAGAGGTTACAAACCCATGGCAACTGTAGTTTACAGGGTAGCTGACTGAGACCAGGATTTACATTTATCCAATTAAGACCAAGAGCAGAGCTTCTCTAAACTTAAATCACAGGGGAGCCAAACACCCTGTAAAAGTAAATGCTACTAACTGCCTAGAAAAACAATGGCCACTTCCCCCTAAATTCTGAAGGGTATGGAGGAAGTTGGGTATGAAAGTTATTTGAGTAAAATAAATAGTCAAATGTATCATTCACTTGTTTGCTGAGTACCTAGTAAATGCAAGCTATTGTGTTAAATACCAAGAAAGACATGTCTTACTCTTAATAGGTATACCTTTGTCTTAGGGTTCTCTAGAAGGGACCTCATTCACCTCAGTTAACAGAGTAGGTTAAGAGAACATGGGCCTAGTGAGTTAGAAATCTAAATATCAGCCAGTGGCACCAAACCAGATCACTGGGCTTGATCCTTAGAAGCAGGATTTGTCACTGCAATTGTCTGCACAGTCAGCAGGCATCACATCGTTAATAGCCTGCCTCTCTCTGTCTCTTTATACACCGATTTCATTATCATTGAGAAAATTATGAATTACCAGATCACTTAGAGGCATTTCTGTGCTCTTAGGAAATTGTTCCTGGTATTGAAATCCTTCTTATGAGCTCCACTTTGAGTTCTGCAGTATAGGCTTCTCTTGTCTGTAACAAGTAAGTAGATGAGCAAGTGTTCTTTCCAAAAAGAAAAAAAAGAAAAAAGAAAGAAACGGATATAGCAAAATTGAAATATATTTTGAGAAATGGATCAGTTTGGATAATTAAACTTTCTCTCTTTTGTATCTGACTTTATTCTTCTAGTAATTTCTCTGGAAACAACAAAATTTTCAAAAAGGCCAAAACCATAAATCTTCAAATGTCAGTAAAATTCTTGTTTGATCTTTAAAAATTTTCCATTATTTTCAGAGCCATTGGCTTATATCCCCTTTAATCTTTTCTTGAATAGGGTACCTCAGCACTTCCCACTAAATTATCCTAAATACAGTACTAGCAACTTCTTTTTTCAACACAACCTTAGTCAATCAGTTGTCAAAGTCTTGTACACAAGAAAAAGACAGAAAAAAAAATCAAAAGAGAAAAATTGGCTTTGGAGATGGTCCTATCCGGTGTCCTGTACACTCCTGTTTGTCTCCAGGTAAATTACTCTATTTTACCGAGCTTCCGTTTGCTATATGTAAAATGGGGATAAAATTCATATAGGTCATTTTGAGATTTAGAACAGTATAAGAAAGCAGAGAGCCCTAAACCTAACAGGTGGTCCTTACCTAAGAATTTCCCTTTGCTTCCTCCTAAAAAGAAACAATAATAAGGCTCAGGGACTTGATCATTAAAACTCATAAACAGTTGCAAATGAAGACTATACAGGCCCCAGCCAACTTTTCTGGCACTTTGATAAGTAGATCTGGCATTTCTCCTTTTTAATGAGGAAAAGCACCCAACATTAGGGAAAAGGAAAATTCAAGGGAAAACGGTGCATAATTTCATCATCCTAGTACGACGACTGTTTCCATTTTTGTCAAGTTCTGGCTTTTGTACAAAATGGTTACTTGTTCTCCACAGCCGCAATCAGGGTGTGCTTATCTTGGCGTCATCTCCTTTAAGGTAGGAATAGATTTATTCCAGATGATAGTGGGAATGGAAGGCTGCGGGGGTGTTCGAGTTCTCTTATGATACTGTTCAAACTTTTCCTCAGCACAGAAACTGCACAAAGAACTCCTCTGCAGTTTTTGTTACCTAGGGCTGTTTCTTTAAATTGTTTGACGTCAGAGAAGGAATGCTATAGCAACAGCCTGTCAAACTGGAATTAACTCAAAAGAAAGATGGGGGTGGGGAAGAGGGAAAATGCTCCCAGGCGGTTCTGACTTCAGAGGAAGCAGATTGGATACATGCATTTATTTTATGACATTTTGAACATAAAAACACCCAGAGAAATGTGACAGAAGTGTATTGAGATGCATGTGGTGTCTCGCTCAGGCAGAGAAGAGCGACTTGGCAGGGTTATCTGGAAAGCCTTCTGGTTTCATCAGTGACAACAGTAACAGTAACCTCCAAGAATTGATCATTTATTTAGAGGCGGGCTCTGTGCAAACATCATTTCATTTAATGTTTCCAGCATTTCTGAGTGGCAGATATCACTATCCTTCTTTTGCCAGCGACAAAACTTAGGCCTCGAGAGGGAACATGGTCACACAGCTAGCGATGGCAGAGTTGGGACTGTAGGACACTTTTGTCTGACCGTGAGCTTCAATTTACTCTCCTACATTTAGGGTCCCTGAACGTTAAACCTAAACAGGACCTTCTAGCTCAACCCCACCATCACGCCCGCGAGCAAAATGACGCCCGAGCACGGTCAGGAAGGAAACTGACCACGCCACTTAGACGGTCGTCCGGACGCCGCGCTAAGAAAATGAAACTGCTGTGGAATTAATGTTTTCTTCTCCTTCTAGCAGGAAACCAGAGGAAAGGACAGGAAGCAGAAGCTCGCGCGGCGCCCCC